ATGTTTGGTTTTAGGTGTGGGTATTGTGGATGGGCCGTGAAGAAGGTCGAGTTGTCCTTCTGGGCTTTATATATCTATTCTTGAATAATGATTCAAAGGTTCTATAAACTATGGAGTTACAGAAATGGTGACTTCCATAAGGCTGTATTAGAGCTTCTACCCGCCTCATATGACTAAGAGGAATTCTCTCCATGCATTGCACGTGCGCGTATTACAGCCAGCATTGCCAAGGCGCCCTCGATGCTCACCCTCCCCTCCCCCGCAGATCAAGAAGGCCTTCCACAAGTCGGAGTCCAAGAAGGAGTTCAGCGTCGTGACCAACCTGTCCACCATGGCGGTGTGCGCCACGTCGCCGCTGCTGCCCACCGCCGTGTCCTCGCAGGACCTCAAGCCCCACCAGGTGGTCGTGCCGCACGTCCAGGTAAGACGGCAGCCGTAGGACCTCGCGCCCTGTCAGCGGGTAGGGCGGCCTCCTCGCCAGGGGGGTTCGCAGGTAGGGAGCCGTAAGCCTAGGCGAGTCGTATAGCACCTGTTGTCCAGATGAATCAGCAGGTGGCGTCACAAGGCCAGGTGATGCAACAGATAGACCGCAGGTGCAGGGCTTCATGTCAAGGTAAATCTCTTCAATTAATGCGCAGTGCCTATTTCCGGTGTCCAGCTCGCCACTGCATTTCTCTGATAATATCAATATTCCCGTAATCTACCGATAGTTGTTCACCGAAAAGGAAGGATCAAATGTTCAACATATTAATTGTTTTTTTTAGGCAACAGATAGATTTAGGTTGTGTTTGTTAAACGTAAGTCAGATGATGGGGTTTGTTGTATGAATGTAGATGTGATCACGATTGTGTAACTATTTTACGTTATTACGTTTAGTTCCATTTCACAAAAGCTGTGCCCCGCTGCTCCTTCGTTTAACTTATTGCTATCAATACGATATATTTTTTTTCCATCTTCCCTTTCTTTCTATACATCTTATTGTGTTGGAGGTGAATCTCAGTCACAATTCCCTTTTGGTAGGGATACCTCGCAATTTGTTTGTCAAAATTGCGTCATTTATCTCTTACTGTTCACTGGTTTTCATAACAATTATTTTGAAATGACGAAGCAAATGTAAACGTGCGCGTACAGAGCAAAACGGAACACACATCATCCCCGACAGACACTCGGGTCCTCGCACTCCGCAACCTCACTTCCTTTTTCCCCACAGGTCACGGAGGTCAAGGTGCCGGACTGCTACGAAGACCCCGAGGACGCCCTTAGCAGACTGCCGCCGTCGCCGCCGCCTCCGCTGCCTGCAGAGGAAGCCGCATCCTCCACCAAGTCCTCCAAGAAATCCTCCAAGTCAGCCTCCGCCTCCGGGTCGTCCTCCTCCACCAGCGCGAAAAGCCCCACCTCGCCCTCGGCGGCGACTCCTGCCCCAAGCTCCTCGGCGGCGGAGGGGGCGGCGCCGCCGAGGAAGCCGCGAAGGAGGCGCCGACGGACAGCAAGACCAATGGCACGGCGAAGACGATCGTGTCTTCGAGTAAACTCCCTTTCTCGAGTACCAAAAAGAGAAAGTAAAATGTTTTCTTTTCTACTCTTAACACTAGTTTAGTCAGGGATTCAGAAGAATATTCTCATGGGCTGCCTCGCCAGGGCCCGCCCCGCTGCCTCCCAGCGGCGGCCAGCAGAGCGGACGTCGCGCCGCTCCCCGGATTTCCTACCGCGACCCGACACTTTCTCGTGATAATATGACAGGAAGAGAAGTGCCAGCAGCCCCCCCCCCCCTATGTCGTGCATGCGACTTACGACTCGGACGAAGGGACAGCCTCATCCCTGATATCTCATAGGACATGATATATATATACACACTTTAACTTAAGTTCGTTCTTCTCTATAGTGGTGTTTATACAATCTTTTTTCCTTGTTATTTTTGGACTTGCCTCATCGGAGTTTATGTCGTTATGTCTAAGTCTCTTTGGCATGAGTTTTGGATATTATTGTATTTTCCATAATATATATATATCCCTTGAGATAAATAATATTTATGATATACCGACTATACATTATGTATGTATGAAAAGTAAGGATGCCTCCTTTTAAAACAGTTGAATCTGTAATGTCACGCATTTCCAACGTCTATAATAAGGGAATTCTATGTAAAAAAAATATTTTTTGGAAATATTAACTGCATAAAGAACGTCGACATTATGCGAACCAACACAATGGTCACCAAACGTTTATTTAGATTATAATAGTCAGCGCGTTACTGTGCCTGGCCGTTTTCTCTGGAAGGTTTGGGACTTACCCATTTTCTCAAATAAGCTTCTCCATTTTCTAATTCCGAGCTAAAACTCCTCGTCATGTCGAAGTTATTTACCGGTTCACGACCAGGCGTATTCTACTAACTTCGTATCTCAGCCTCGTTGTAAATAGGAATGAAGACCGTTATATGTTTGTCAGAAATATTTTAACTCCGCATAGCTATATATCTATAGGTTATAAAACATGTGACCAAATACATCCGACTGGTTGATGCTCTAGTCCACGCGGTACTAACTCTCATTTCCTTTATTAACTTTCTGGATATTTTATATGTATACAGATATATATATATTTACTCTTAAGAATGTGAATATAATAGAAGCAATACCGTGTCTTCAAGAAAGGTTTTAAAAAGTGAAAGAAATTCTCCTCAAATCCTTTTTGGTCAGCGCATGGTCAGTCAGTTCTGTTTTGTTTCTTTTTCCTTTCCTTTCTTTAAGGATATAAAAATAATCTACTTATTTTCTATTTTGGTCGTTGTTTTTCTCACTCTTTCCTTTTAGTATTGCTTTTTTAGAGCCTTTGTTTGTAATCGGGATCTGCACATTTACCGAAACTGAAATTTAGACTGAAAATATCGAATTTTGCGCATCGTATCCCCCAAACGCGACGTATACTTGTTATGAACCCTCTCCCTAACGGCCAAACACACGGCTGATTCGAACCCCCAATCCTTAGACAACTTCACGCGTGTATATCTCCCCAACATTAAACAATACTTGACTCCTAAGGTTTGTGGCTTGTTACTTCACTCTTCGGAAAGCAGAGGACTCACTTCGAATTGGTTGTTTGGGCAGAGGAAGCCATTGTGTTCTGCTATTGACAGTTTGTACAGTTTGTGGTAATGAATATGGTATTTAGTGTATGCTGCGTTGGCAAAGCTTGTGTGATAAAAAAGGGTGTAGTTCGTGAAAGAAAAAGAGAAATGTTTAAGTGAGACACAAAGAATTTGCAAAAGAGATCCTTGTTTCTGAAGAATACTCTAGAAATCACTAATACGAACCGTATACTTAGAAAAAAGAGAAGTGTTTCTGGAAAAAAAAAACCCGAAGTGATATTACCTACAAGTAGCGAGTCACACTGTTATCACTTCACTCACCTCACCTTTGGCCTTATATACGGCGCAGACATGAAATTTCTTCATCGGAAAATATATTTCATCGATGAAAAGGAAAAAACAACCAAGCGCTTCCATGATTTATAAGACGTGCCTCTTTTATGGGCCAGTTTCCCCCCCACACAGATTTTTTAACCCATGGATAGTAGGATGAAGTCGCCGATCCTGTAGTATGGTAACCCCCCCCCCACAGGACCTCTTAGTCTATTCATGTATATAGAGAATTTCCACCCAACATTTAGCCATGAACTGTAAACCGATACAAAGTAGACTCCAATTTTAGAGAAGAGTAAATAGATGTCAGTCTTCTGGTCTTTCGTGCCGAAGATTTTAGTAGCAACAGACGTGAACAAATTTCCGATTGTACAGACCTTTGGACACTGGTACAATAAGACACAAAGACATGTGGCTGTGACTGCCGTGATGCAGGCCTAGACATATCACCGAACATTAGGTTCTGCTCCAACGAGGCTTTCTATTCGGTCTTTTGGTCTTACGTTGAACAGGAGTTGCAACACAGTCGTTCTCGCTCGGGTTCTCCTGGCGGGCCTCGGAGACTGGTTATCAGGATACTTACTTTGTTCTTATGATACCAATGTGTAATGCCTTACTGAAGTGATTTCGTGTATATATATGTATATATGTATATATATATATATATATATTATATATATATATATAATATATAACATTACATACATATATATATACATATACATACATATATATATATATATATATATATATATATACTATATATATTATATATATATTATGTATGTATATAAACACATATATACTTATATTTGTATGTATGTATCAATGTATGTATTTATGAATATATATACATACATATATAATCATATCCTTATATATGCACTTGTATACAGATACAGTAATCATACGATGACTACCACCCCCATCCCCAACCTATCCACCCACCATCCCACACACACACACAACACACACACACACACACACACACACACACACACACACACACACACACACACACACACACACACACACACACACACACACACACACACACACACACACCACACCACACACACACACACACACACACACAACACACACACACACACACACACACACAACACAACACACACCACACACACACACACATCGTCTACCTAGCATGCAACCTCCCATCCCAGATAAGGATAAGCTATCCTTTCCACACCCCCCCCCTTCCTTCCTTAGACCATCTCCCGTGCCTCTTGCCCATAATGAGTGCCATACTCTCACCTCTTCCCCTGTGCCCTGATATGTTACTCATACCCTAACCTCATGCCCTATGCCAACATATGTTACTCATGCCCAAACCAGCTGCTCCCATGCCCTGACCTACTGAACAGTTCACCAACAAGCTTCCCATACATTATGTTGTTTCAAAGGTTTGTTTCATTAATGGTGTGCAAGATTATAATAAATAATTTTAATATTCTTGGGTCTTTTTCTCTTCCCGAACTACGCTGGTCATGGAATGGCGTGAAAAGCTAGTGATTATACTATTTAGCAATATTTCCATGAATGAAATCTGCTCTCACTTAGAAGAAATACGAAACAAACACGTCAGGACATGTATGTAGATGAAGGTGCAAAGTACATGCAATTCTGAAGAGGATTTCATCGAACACCTCAACTATATCATTTTTATCTTTACAACTAATAGTAGGATAAACTAGCTCTTCCCTAAGACAATATCTGAACACGTAATTATAAAATACCAAAGCGGCCGTTAGCAAAGGCCAAGTGTGAACAAGATAATACATTGTTGAAATATTTAAAAGGCTTGAGTCTAGAATACAGGGACCACGATCCGAAAAGGTAAAGAATAGCATTATAAGGAGTTCATTGATACTGTACAATGTACTGTCAATAATGGTATTTAAGTCACATTTGGAAGAGAAGTATTCAATGGACAGGCTATAGAGTGGATTACGATTATTCTTTGTTGTATTAAATTTCCTGTCATTCTCTTCTACCTATCTCTCTCTCTCGCTCTCTTTCTTCTCTTTCTCTTTCTCTCTTCTCTCTCTCTCTTCTCTCTTCCCGCCCTCTTTTCTCTCTCTTCTCTCTCTCTTGTCTTCTCTCTCTCTCTCTCTCTCTCTCTCTTCTCTCTCTCTTCTCTCTCTCTCTCTTCTCTCTCTCTCTCTNCTAATGTTCGTTTTTTTTTTTCTTTCTTTCCTTAAAATCTTGCGAAATCCCCCCCCCCAACCAAAAAAAAAAAAAAAAAAAAGAAAAAAGTGCGTATCATAAAACACACCAAACAACGAAACAACAAGGAAATAATAAAATAACAAGAAACAGAGGAAAAGAAAGAAAGAAGAAGAAGAGAAGAGAAGAAGGAGGAAGGGGCGAAGATGAGATATATAAATCAAACCATCTTGTACGAAAGACATAACGGTAAATCAGCAGGAAAAGGAATATCAAAAGCCATAAAACAGAAGAGGGACATGCAGGAGGAAAGAGGAGAGGAATGGCCAGAAATGACAAGTGTGATTGATGAGAAGGTCCCCAGAGGGCAAGAGGCCGAAAAAAGAGGGGGAAGGAACAGAGGAAGAGAAGAAAAAGAGGAGAAGGAAGACAGAGAGATGCAGGAGTGAGAGAGAGAACGTAGAGAGAAGACAAGATAAAAGACGGGAGAAGAAGATAGCGAGAGAAGAAGGCGGAGGGGATGAGAGATAAGATAAAGATGAGTAGAAGAGAGAGAGGGAGCCAGGGAACAGGACAGAAAGAGAGAGAGAGAGAGAGATGGAGAGATAGGTAAGATAGATAGATAGAAGATAGATAGATAGATAGATAGATAGATGACGCAGGATAGAAGACATAGAGACTAGATAGAGAGAGAGAGACGAGATCGATCAGGGATACTTACGCTCCATGGATCCGCTACCGAAGAAGTCCGACGAGCCAGCAGAGAGAGAGAGAGAGAGAGAGAGAGAGAAAGGTAAGCCAAAAGGCGACCTGAATGTAGTGCTTCGAAGAAACGTATAGATTATAGATGTATAGATGCAAAAACTTTCTCGCAGACTTATTTTCTCGAATTTCTGACACTCCAACACTTTTATCAATTTTAGACGCGAACGGCAGAACAGGGAAAAGTAAAACAAAAGTAAACAGGAGATATTCTGTCGATTCTCAAATGACTTAACGAGTCCCTTGGGATTAGACTCGATTTAAGCGGATCTCCCTTTTCTCTCCCTTTTTCCCTCCCTCCCCGTTCGTCTTGCCTCCCTGCCTCTTCATTTACTTTATCTCTCCTTCTTTCTCTTGCATTTCTTCACTTCATTCTCTTCCATCTCTCTTCTTTCTTGCTTCCTTTCCCTCCCTTCTATATTCTTCGCTTCTCCCACCCCGTTCTCCCTCCTTCTCTCCCTTCCTTCTGCATTCTACCCTTCCTCCATTCCCTTCCCGCATTCTTTTCTCCATTCCTTCTTCCTCTTTCGTTCATTTCCCTCTCTTCATTTTCTTTCCCTCCTCCTCTCTTCCCCATTCTTCCCGTCCCTTCTTCCACCCCACCCTCACTTCTTCCCCTCCTTCCTTCCTATTTCCCTCCTCCTATTCACCCATCCTTTCCCCTTCTCTCTCACCTATCCTTCCATCCTTTCTCCTTTTCCCCCTTCCTATTTCCCCCATCTTTTCCCCTTCTTCCCCCTTCCTATTTCCCCCATTCCTCTCCCTTTCCTCCTTCCTATTCACCCATCCTTTCCCCTTCTCCTCCTCCTTTTCCCCCATCTTTCCCCCTTCTCCTCCTTCCTATTCACCCACCCTCTCCCCTTCTTCCCCCTTCCTATTCTCCCATCCTTTCCCCTTCTCTCTCATCTATCCTTCCATCCTTTCTCCTTCACCCCCCTTCCTATTCACCCATCCTTCCCTTCTCCCCCTTCCTATTCACCCATTCCTCTCCCCCTTCTTCCCCCTTCTTATTCCCCATCCTCTCCCTTCTCCTCCTTCTCTTCTCCCATCCTTTCCCCTCCCTTCCCCCCTTCCTATTCTCCCATCCTCTCCCCCTTCTCCTCCTTCCTATTCTCCCATCCTTTCCCCTCTTCCCCCCTTCCTATTCTCCCATCCTCTCCCCCTTCTACCTCCTTTCCACCCTTCTCTTCCCCCTACAAATAGAGTGAGAAGTAGTCAGGGTGAAAGGGAGAAGTAGCAAAAGTTGTTGCAGTTCAATCAAGAGATTAGACTTCAGGGGGGCGGGATGGAGGGAGGGGGAGGGGGCCGAGGGGAGACGAAGAAGGGAAGAGGGAGAGGGAGCGAAGGGGGGGATGGAGGGAGGGAGAGGGAGGGAGGCCGGGGGAGACGAAGAGGGAAGAGGGGAAAGGAAGCGAAGAATAGGAGAAAGCGGAAAAAAAGAGAGGGGAAGGATAAGGGGAGATGGAAATAGGAAAGGGAAGGAAGGAAAAATAAAGTGAACAATAGGAGAAAGCGGTAAATGAAGAGGAATGAAAGATAGGGGAAGAAGGAAGGGGAAGCGATGAAGGTGAGTAAAGAAGTAAGAGGAAAAACATGATAAGGGAAAAGGGAAGGAAATTAATAGAGCAGGGCAGGAAGAGGATGGGAAAGGAAAGAGAATTGAAAGGGAAGCGAAGAAAAGAGTGATAACGAGAGGGAAGAGAGAAAAAGGGAAGAAAACAATAAAACAAGACGAGGAAAGAAATGAAGAACATTCGAAGATGGAAAAGGAATTTAAGACAAAGGGGGAAAGAAGAAAAGAGAAGGGAAGAAAGACAGAGAATAGACAAGAGGAAGAAGAGAAGAAAAAAAAAAACAAACAAACAGAGAAAGCAAAAAAAAAAAAAAAAAAAATAGTGAGAAGCGAGAAAACCCCCCTTTTTTTTTTTTTTTTTTTTTTTTTTTTTTTTGCTTTCTCTGTTTGTTTGTTTGTTTTTTTCTTCTCTTCCTTTTTTTTTTTTTTTTTTTTTTTTTTTTTTTTTTGGCTTCTTGAGAATGTAAAGTGATGATTTGGTCCCCAGGGTGTGTTTAGGTTGATGTGTATTTTGTGTGTGTTTGGCGTTTATTTTTGTACTTGTGCTTATATGCTTATGTTTGTTTGTTTGTTTTCATTTATTTGTGTCTGTCTTTGTGGTCTTTGCGCGCGTGTGTGTGTTTGTTGTATTTTTGCTTGTGTTTGTTTGTGTCTGTCTTTGTGCTTGTGTTTTATTGTTGTGTTTGTTTGTTAGTTTGTTAGTTTGGTTTGTAGGAATGTGTGTGTATGTGTGTGTTCACGTGCTCGTGTGTCTGCATGCATGTATGTCTATGCGTTTACTATTCTACTTTTATTCTGTTAATTACTGTCCTGTTTTAGAATTCAGAAATAAAATGAAAAAACTGCTCCACCACGTCCAGTTATTAAGCACTCGCCAGTAAGCACGTAGCGTAGAATAGTGAGAGCTGCCTGTCAAATT